GTTATCGCAGACGATGCTGTATCGCACGCCCCAGACTCGACTTGAGTGGAAAATTAATCATCCGCAGTTGTGCGCGCAGCCTCGCACTTTTTTGCACATGAGCAAAGGTGTTTTTAGGAGTCTAACTTGCAGACGGCAGACCACTGATTCGTCAAACGTGCTTTCCTGCAGTCCGTGTTCTTCTGACTTCTGACTATTTTGTAGTAAGTAACGAATATGCTTCGGGGAAATGTATCGGAGTAAAAGTATACATTTTAATTAGGAAATGTAGTGGAGTAAAAGTAAAAGTTGGCTGAAATATAAAAACTCAAGTAAAGTACAGATACTCCCAAAAAATACTTAAGTACTGTAACGAAGTATTATTACTTCGTTACAATACACCACTGGCTAATTGGCATTGGTGGATTGATCAGTAATAGCGTAGATTTATAAATGTTTAATATGTATTCCTAAATTTTCACATAAAAATTCTCTAAAATTCTCATCACCATTTCTACACATCCTAAGAAACACAGTACAAGAAATTTGTTCTTTAAAAATTCTCCAGTCACCTGCTAAACAGATGGTTTCAGAGTCTGATGAATGCATGTTCAGTGCTTAAACCACCTTAACCCTGAAGGGACCTAAAAGAGGAGAGCCACTGGACCCTGTGGATTTGTCTTACCCGACCTTCAGATCCTAAGAGGATTGAGCAGAGAGTTGAACTGTTAACAGAAGCCTAATTCGATTGGACCTCTTATCGATTGGATTCTACAAGCAATCAAAATAGCAGTGAGGCCCTTCAGACAGAAGTGGTGATGGTCCAGAACACAAGACTTGTATGTGTTACAAGAAAATCTACGTTTGTCTGGTTCATGGCTCTGACGTGTGTATTGATAGAATATCTCCAGCATGTGGCCTGGAGAAGTAGTCTGAATCGTGTAGGCTTAGTGTCAAATGAATAGAAAGCAGTCTCATGGGAATGTGGCTATTAATGCTTCTTCTCCTTAAGTTTTTCCTGAA